CATCTATACTTTTATTTTCCCTCTGCTCTTACATGTGCAGTGGGTCAAAGAAAACACAAAACTTTCAGGACAATGAAACCAAGCAAATTAATATACTGTATACATTGGTAATAATGCTTAAATTCCCAAAATGCCTCTGTAACCTTTTAGTATTGGATGCTATTCAGCAATAAATACATCATCTCTGCTACTGTAGCTGCCATCACTTTGAATTTTGAATTAATCTTGTATTTTGAAATGTGGTAATTTAAATTTACACTATACAGTTCATTAACAAAATGATACCAGTATACACCATTTGTGCCAAAAGTAACTGAGACAATACAGTACAAGTACAGTACTGTATTAAATAAATTAAATGTTTTTCAACCAGTCATACACTGTACACTATTACAACTACAGTACTGTATTATAACAAGAGATCAGACATACTGTACTGTACTTCCATCTCACAAAATGAGCCACCTTCCTCATACACTGTACAGTAATTCACATCGGAGGCATATGTTTATACAGGTTGACAACCCTTTATCCGAAATTCCAAAAACCGAAAGTTTTTTTGTGGAGCAATTTTTTTTTATATTATTATTAGCCCACCCGGGCACAGGTCACTGATCCACATCAGGGTCTAGGGGGTGAAAATGTAATAGTAATACCGGTAGTAATAATAATTATAATAATAATAATGATAATACAGTAATAATAATAATTATTCATAGTAAATAAAATTTTTAATAAAAAATACACAAAAATAAAATAAGAATGATAACAATAATACTGTAACAATAAAATAATAATAATAATAATAATAATAATAATAATAATAATAATAATAATAATAAAGAAATACAAGAATGGAAAAAAGATCAAAAGTGAGAAACACGACCTAGACCTATGAATTATTATTATTATTATTATTATTATTATTATTATTATTATTATTATTATAATTATATTTATTATTATATTTTAGCCTCCAGGCCCCAATGTGGGTCAGTGACCTGTGCCCGGGTGGGCTGATCCCTGTTTAAAAAAAAAAATAAATAAAAAAAAAAATAAACCCCAACCATTCTGAAAACTGAAAAATTCCAAAAACCGAAATGCATCTGGCCCCAAGGATTTCGGATAAGGGATTGTCAACTTGTAAAAAGAAAATAAATTAAATGACACCCATCGAATTTTTAAATAAATTAATATAAATACAGTACAGTAGTGTACTTATGTGAATAAGTAATTTGGGGGAAAACTGGCTCATATTTTTAATAATATAAATTAACAAACACAAAATACAAAGAGGAAATTTCAGTTACTGAGCACACAAAAATCTGATGGATATATTACAACAGATGGTTACAAAGCTAAGCAATACCATACCATAAAACACCCCACAATTTACAGGATTATTTGAATGAGGCTTGAACATGAAATCTTATTTTTCTAACTAAACTGGGACAGGCAATCTGTTTAACCATTATGTTTAAAGGTGGAAAACCAGGCATCTAATTATTGAATAAATTCAGTAATACAAGTATCCTTCATCTTTACCTCTACACTGGAATCCACTAAATTCCAGGAGACATTTTGCCAACATGTTACCACATCCATGCTTCTTGTTTGTCAAATACATTATGTGGCTTTGTTAGAAAACCAGAAGGATATGACAGACCTTAAACTTTCAAGATAAATCACCTACCCCATTGGGAGGATGAGGACAATAGTATCCTCATTTAGGTATTGCTCAATGTTATATCCAAGTCAATACCCCGTTCCCCCATGCTCTGAACAGACTTGAGGGTTTTAGAGTGCATGAAGGCCAAGGATAACATGATACCAGTTTAATCATACACCAGAGGAACATTATCAGGTTTTGTAATATTAAACTGCCTTAACCAGAGTACACTACTGGAAATATAGGCTCCATTTGCTTCCACCTTAAGAATTATAAATTACCATACAGGGGTAACAGTAAATAATAATTAGTGAGGAATTGCCCTAAAATAATATTAAACTACCTTTAAAGGAAATCAGTAATGATGAGACACATCTGCATGTTTCCAAGTTTGAAACTAATAACCTCAAACATAAAATTTGGCATAGTATTACTTGATGGACTGAAAGTGGTAAAACATCACTTCACCTGAGAGAATGTAACTCAAGAGACTTTCCTCCCTGGCGCAAGAGTTTGAAGGAAAATGAATGTAGGTCTCAAAAAAAAAAAAAAAAAAAACCTCAATACTTTAGAAGAAATGTAAATAGCAAAATCCTCTCAGAGGTACAGTATAGCGAGAACAAACTTATAAGAGGCTAATAAGTTGGCAAATAATCTTGATTTTCAAAATTCCAAACAAGGAATTCCATAACTACTTTTCCAAAGTGACTAATACTGCTTGTCCACAGATTCCATCAAAGAATATACAATACTGGCACTGTAATCAACTTCAGTACCTGTATATTTTCTTGAAATATAAATTAAATCCTAGAATTTCAAAGACTCCCTTCTCTGGTAAAATATCACTACCTGTCTCAACCTATTGGAAATTTCATCATCTTCCCAAGCAATACAGTACTCTTATAATGTGAAGAAGAGGACCCATATCCATCAAAGTGAAGGTCTGTGCTGTTCTCGGAGACCTTTCTTCTACCCTCTATCACCCCTTCACTGATCTACACAGCACACCATAAATGTGAATCTCATGAGAAGACAAGTTTTTAAACTTTATCAGTCATATAAAAGAAGGGTGACAAGCTGTACACTTCTCCCAAAAGCTGTTTTTATCCTTCAGCATAGGCAGTCCGGGTTACAAACATCTGACTTATGAACTTCCGCCGATACGAACAAAATTAAGCTTTAAATTTACAGTAATTTATGTACCTGATGACTTATTTTTTTCTTTCATTTACTGTATTTTGACATTCTATTTCTTTTTTTCTCTCAAATTAAGTGATTTTAGATTTATATAAGGACTTAGACTATGATATAGCAGGATTTTAACATTTGTTCTGTAAGTACAGTATGCACATAACATGTGTTTCGGCTTACGCACAATTTCACTTTAAGAACGTCCCCAAGAATGGAACTCGTTCATAACCTGGGGACTGCCTGTATGTATAATGATGTTTCCACTTAAACAATTGCATCAGTGCATCAGCTAAACAAAACTTAGCCAAATCATCCAGTTGTCTCTGATCAAATATTCTTATAGACTAAGAAAATCACTGAGAACCCAAAAGGAAGTTTGCCTAAATAATCACTTCTATGCAACCAAGTACCTTGAGAAAATCCATGGCTAAGGTATAAATACTGTAGCTTCCTCTACTTGGGCCACAAAGGTCACCCACGATGTTAACATCACCTTTATAAGGTCTGCCTTAAAATTAGTCTTAGCAATAAGACTACTGGAGATGCTTAGCAATTAATAAGAATAATAAACAGGAAGAACAGACCTCCATGATGAGAATTCCTAAGCAGAAGTTTGCTTGGAAATTATGCCAGTTGTCAATAATTAAAGCATATGGAAAAAAAAAAAAAAAAAAAAAAAAAAAAAAATCTTTGGTTAAGAAATTGCACTTAGAATGTGACCCTGTAATGAAGGTGTACAAAGGTCTTCCTCACAGACATAGAATTCCCAAAGAAAGAAGAAAGATTTTTGGAAAAAAAAAAAAAAAAAAAAAAAAAAAAAAAAAAAAAAAATAATAATAATAATAAATAAATAAATAAAATAAATAAATAAAGTCCTCCCAGCAGGCAAGGTTAAATAATTGAGAAAATTTGGGAACTGAACCAAACAGCAAACCTACATATTTTTTTTTTCCTCATTCAGGTCCTAAATTATGCTCCTTTATGCATGTGCTGATACAGCCTTGCACAGCTTCTGTAGGTGTCTTCTGTCATGTTGACTAACCAGAGTCTCCATACCTAAAGATGGTTCCTGAGTTTTCGATGAAGGGTATGCACTACAGTACCTCCACATCCTTACTTTATCCTCATCATCAATGTTTTATGACCATTTTACATGTTTGAGTGGGTTAACTACAGTTATCTGATAGCAGTTCTCCATATTGTGTGGTCTGGTGGATGGAATAGAACATTTTGTCTCTTTGTGTGCAGACAATGTTTTGTTTTTTCTAATGGCTTTAAGGCATTGCTTTTTAAACATTTGAAGCCAGCACTGTAGCACTGCTACACTCAGATCTATCACTCTTATGTTTGTTTGAGGACATTGTGAAAAAAAATAAAATCAATATTAAACAAAACTGACATTTAAACCAGTGCCATTATGCCTCAAAGCTTCTGTGACTACAGTAATCATGTCAAGTAAACAAAGCAACAGGGAATAATATAATCAATATATATGTTGGGTCAACATTTCATACTGTTCAATTTGTTTCCAATATCATCTGGCTTCCCATAAGTACTGTACAAGTATAAAATTATTTCTGGTCCATACTGTACTGCATGTATTTGACTTATTTAGCTCATTATTAGCTTATAATCAATGTTTTCACTGAAAATTATCATGAAAAGCATGTTATTTAGCATTTTAATATGATCTGGGAATCTCTCTTTTTTAGTGGGAATGGATCTTAGCTTTTATATTGAGAATGTATAGAAAAATTTGGTTTGATTGATGAAATATCAATTTACAAAAGGTTTTTCTGGAATTGAATTCTTTGTAAAAGGAGGAATGCCTGTATTGATGAAGCAACTTAGCAAATATTTAGTATTTTCTAGCATGCAAATTTTCTTTCCAACAGCTGTAATTTTAACAGTAGTAATCCTGATACTGTATGCTGTACAGTAAAAATATTATTTTCCAATCTCTGTCCAGGAGGTCCCCAGGTTACGAACGGGTTCCATTACTGAGGACGTTTTTAAGCTGGATTTGTACATAAGTCGGAACACATGCTATGTGCATACTGTACTGACTGAATAATGTTTAAAATCCCACTGTATCATAGCCTAAGTCCCTATATGCATCTAAAATCATTTAATTTAAGACAAAATAAAAAACAAGAATGACAAAATACAGTAAGTGAAAGTAAAAAAATAAGTCATCTGGTAAATATATACCGTAAATTTCAAGTTTAACCCTGTTCGTATTGGCGGGCATTCGTAAGTCGGACGTTAGTAAGTCAGAGACCCCCTGTACATATAAACTGTTTATGTATAATATACATTCTGACTCATCTCCTTTCAAACACAACCACACTTAATTAATTTGGATTTATATCAATTTTTTTTTCACGATAAATCTCTGCATCACCTTTGTTAATTCAATAATACAACAGCTATAATGGAGCATACCAGAAGGTGTAAGGGAAAAAGAATACTGTACATGTTTATGATGCTGGACTATATTGGAGAGGGACTGTTACTACCTCTAATTTTTGTATTTAGAGAAAATTCTACTAAAAGTTTTTCTGCCTCATCCTGTGTGATCTCTTCATTCTCCATGACAATCTTGATGAACATTGTTGGACCCAAAACTTTCCAGATGTACTGCAAACTCTGTATAAAACAAAATTAATAAAGTATGATATAATATTTGCACAAATATATTCAACCTTACATGCAAACATATTTCTACATAGCACTACCAGATTCCCTTTGTATACTATAAATGCAAATGAAGGATATGAGCGTGGGTATTTTTACTGTCTCAACCATTTCTTATAGTTTTCTATGCTTGTCTTGCATTAATCTCCTATAGTATATCCTCTCCCCTCCTTCGAAGTTCTGTACACTTTGCTCCATCCCACCATCATCATCATTTTACATCCATTTTCCATGTTTGAGTGGGTTAGCCACAATTACCTAATGGCAGCTCTTCATGCTGCACAGACTCTTGCAATCTCTAGTTAGGTTCCTAACTCTAATGTCATTTCTCATAACCTCTCCAGATGTCATTCTTGGCCTACCCCTGGCTCTCCTCCCACCATATTTAAGCTCACGCATCTCTTGAACCCAACTGGTCTCATCCCACACAAATGTAAATGAAGAATTAAAACACATAAATGGATATACTAGCACCTTCATGCAACCCAGTAATGTGCAGTCTGTTTTTGCTTAACAATTCTAATCAAAAGTCGTTTTTTTTCCATTCACCTCTCCTTTTACAAGAAACCATGGTGGGTTACTCATCAAAAGAGCAGTAACCAGGCCCCATCCTGCCCTATCATGGAAAATCTGGGAAGGGACACAATCCAAGTATACACCCCTGGTGATAATTAGTTTTTACCTTAGTTTGTAATTCACAAGACTTTTACTTCACAGCATATTGAGCTGTTACAAAGATAAACAATTCCTTTCCTCCAAGTTCCTACAGTTCAAGAAACCCACAAATGCCCCCCTCCCCTCCAAAAAAAAACAAAACATCAATGTAAGAGGGATTAACAAGAAGTAATTTGTCAACACTGGGGCCATGTGGCCTGATTATGCCCCTCGACTAAACCGTGGTGTGGTCTCTGCTCAAGACAACATGCAACACAGGCTTGCAGAGATACAGTTGCTCAAGGGGGTGCCATTCAACAGAAGTGTATTAACTGCAAATCAGTTGGAGCTCCTGTTTGGCACCCTGACTGTCCTAGAGCTCCTACGCCCCTTTAGCGCCCAGACCCGCCACCCAGGCAGGTCTCAAGAAACACTACTGCTGCTAGGGTACTCCCTACGGCCAACCCCTGGCCCACCCTCCCCACCAAAGCTCCAGGATCATCATCAGCAGTCATCGAAAGATCAGCATGGGGCAACACAGACGTACCGACACAACAGGTAGCTGCCAACACACCCCGTGAACTTGCACAAAGTGAAGAGATCAATGATTTGAAAAATGAAATTAAAGAACCCAAAGCTCAATTTACAGCTCAAAGTGATATGTTAAAGAGCCTCTGTGATACACTACAGAAAAAGAACACCACCAACACAGTGCAGCAGCTATGGAAAGATTACAGTCAAACTGAAGACATTCAGATGTCAGTACCAGATGTGGAAACTCAAGACCCACCAGGAACTAGTGTCCCTGCAGAGGAAAATAGTGATACTGGTAACAGTTCTACTGATGCCTCTGTGGACATGGTCAGTGAAGATGAACAAACAGAAACAGAAAATGGCGGTGATGTCGAGTGTAACCAAAGTGTGTTGTTGTCTGCCACTGAAATACAATTGTTGAGCAGGACATGCTCCAGAAATTTTTAAAAAAGGTTAAATGGCCTACTGCCTGCCAAAGGGACAGGCAGCGTTGAAAAAAAACAGTATCATACAGTGCCTTTTGCTTCTTTCCAAATACAGTTCATAATGGCCAGAGTTAATACCAGACAAAGATACAGAGCGGTGAAGGTGATGAGTTGGATCATCTCATCCCTTAGAAAACGATACCCTGACCTACACCACAAAGTTGTGACTGAGGACATCGATATTGTGTGTCTGCAGGAGTGTCTCACACCTAATGGTAAGCCCCCACCCAGTCTGCCCAATTATGTGTATTATGATCCTAGTTCTACTCACACATGTTTGATGTATGTTAAGAAGTCATTCCTGCATGTACCTCTTGTATCCAAAAAGACTACCAACCTTCAATACCATGGGATCACTATCCACCTGGGCAACTCCACGCTCAACGTGCTAAATGCCTATGCTCCCTCAGATCAGCTTCAGTACACAGAACACCCAGACTTTTTACACACTGAGCCCACTGTCCTGATGGGTGACCTGAATACTAGACACAAGAAATTAGGTGACTCCACCACAAACACCAATGGTAGGAAGGACTTATCTCACTTCTCAGCGCATATGAAGATGTTCAAATTATAGGTAATAATAAACCAACACACATCTATGGTGGGGCTGGTACAAGGACTACAAGCCTGACAACTACCAAAGTTTCCATGATGATCTGATAGATAGGACTTATACATACTTCATCAACAAAGCCTCCACCAAAAAAGGAGAAAATGTGGTCAGCATAATGGGAACAGGCAACAGCAGTGCTATGATGACCCTAAACTGAAAAACTCAGGGCTAGAGTCAGGAGGGTGGGTAAGGGTTACAGCCATTACTTAGCAACAATTACCTCAACACCTTATCCCAGAGTGCTTCATGAATCTACTGTCTCATGTTGGTTAGTGTCCATAATAATGCTTAATTTTTTTCTCATTTACCGTATTTCTCGGCGTATAAGCCAACCCGACTTATAAGCTGACCCCCGAATATTTAGCTGAAATATCAGTTCTAGGCTGATGTCGTGTGTATAAGCCGACCCCCAAACTCAACTCATTATGAGCATTACTGTTACGAGCGGTTTGAAGTTCAATACTGCACCGACTCACATTCATAGTCGACCTCTTATCTCATTATGAGCATTACCGTTACGAGCGGTTTGACATTCGATACTGGACTGACTCACCTTCATAGTCGACCTCTTATCTGTTTCCACATTTTCTCCACTTGGCATTTTCCATATCTATGAGGTGGTTGTCCTTAAACCTTATGGTAAAATGGTTCCACCCGCAAAACAAATGAAATACGACGCATCATTCAAGTTAAAAGTTGTAAGATCTGCAAAGGTATCAAACAACTCTGCAGCAGCAAGAGAATTCGGCGTTAACGAGAAGCAGGTTCGAGAGTGGAAGAAGGATGAAGAAAAGTTAATAGACATCCCCAGAACAAAATGTGCCCTGAGAAGAGGTAAACAACAGTGGCCAGAACTGGAAGTGAAATTATTTGAGTGGGTCAACAAGAACCGAGTGTGTGGATACGTCATCACCAGGAATGCCATATGTATTTACGCAATGAAGCTGGCCAAGTCAAATCCAGACACCGGTAAAGACTTCAAGGCAACAAGAGGGTGGTGTAGTCGTTTTATGAATAGAAAAGGATTAGTATTAAGACAGAAAACTAAAATTGCACAGAAGTTACCCCATGACCTGGAGAGCAAAATCACATGTTTTCAACGGTACATTATTCAAATACAGCGCAACCACAATTTCCCTCTAACCTGTATCGGGAATATGGACAAAACTTCTATGAACTTTGACATGATCAGCAATCGAACGGTGGAAACAAAAGGCTCGAAAACTATTTTGGTGAAGACGACTGGACATGAAAAAGCACACTTCACAGCGGTTTTGAGTTGTATGGCAGATGGAACAAAGCTGAAACCCATGATTATCTTTAAGCGGAAAACAATGCCAAAAGTTAAGTTCCCAGCGAGGGGTATGTGCACATGCAGGAGAATGGTTGGATGGACGAAGAAGGAGTTAGGCTGTGGTTAGAACACATTTGGAGTAGGAGGCCAGGTGGACTGAGGAAGGAGCGTAGTTTGCTAGTGTAGGATATGTTCCGGTCTCACTTGACTGCGCCAGTGAAAAAGTTCTTGAAAAAGCATAATACAGATACTGCAGTAATACCTGGTGGACTAACATCTGTTGTTCAGCCTCTTGATGTATTCCTTGATAAGCCTTTCAAGGACAGAGTTAGAGATAGGTGGAACAAGTGGATGATTGAAGGTGAGAATTTATTCACAAAAGGATGAAATATGCGAGCTGCGCCACTTGAGTTGCTGTGCGAATTTGTGAAAGATTCTTGGAATGCCATAAAAAAAGAAACAGTAGTAAAAATGTTGCATATCCAATTCTCTGGATGGTGAGGAGGATGATGTGGTGTGGGAAGATGATGATGAAGCCGAATCCGCAGCCGAGTCGGAGGACTGGGATTCATCGGAAGGAACCACTAGTTCAGAGGAAGATTTTGAAGGATTCTAAACAATTTCAATTCTATATTGTATTTGAAAATTTTTACTGATGTCATTGTTTTTATCCATGTCTTAAATAAAGACACCACGCCAGTAATAGAGAGTTGTTAAACAACAGTCGTGTCATGTCGCTGTTGTAGTATTTCTATTATTTTAGTATTTTAGGCCATTTCAGTTCATGTCTTTAAAATAACAAAGTTGTATTTCAAAGTTGTTTTATATATGGGTTCTCAGAAAGAGAATAACAACTGATGGGGCAGTCACATTGAAGTTTCTGAGAAGTAAGTAGTGTGTCTCGCTGCTGTACACCAAAAATATTTAAGGTTCATGATTTAGATCTGCTGTATAAGCAGACCCCATGATTTTTGGGAATTTTGGGGGGCTTACAACTTCGGCTTATATGCCAAGAAATACGGTATGTATGTTTATTTGTGTGCTGTATCTACCTGTTCTTTAACTGATATACAATAAAACCTCATTAAGGCAGAGTGCTTTAAGGAGGATATCTCTTAAGCTGGACAAAATTATATGCCAAAAAATAATTAAACAATTAAATTAAAAAAATTAATAAATAAATAAAATAAAAAAGTAAATAAAAATTAAAACAATTTCCTCAGATGACATGTCTGCCTTGAGCCAAAATTTCAAGGGACCAAGGCATCAGTCTGCAGGACACAGGTGCCAGAGATTTATCAATTGTTTTTTGTGGAAATATTATTTCATTCACTCTACAGTAGTAATGATACTGGGTACAATGTTTCTTATTATGTTTTCATAGGTAGTGAAGGGTTTGTATCATTTGTTTATCACTGTGCCCATCACCGTTTTCAAATTAGACTACAAGATATGTATTTCAATCATATGCCTGGAAACAGGAGCGAGTGAGTGACTAGTTAGAATATCGTCTGCTCTTGTAACTCTCCTTCCTCCCTGCATATTTCAATTGATTTACTGTCATTACAGTATTAGTGTTTACTGATTGTTACCGCCACAGTAAAATACGTTGTCAGGGGGAGTGTTACCGCCACAATAAGATAAACTAGACGAGAGAGAGAGATATTTTTTTTTACGGGATTAGCCTGGACACAGGTCACGGACCCACATCAGGGCCTGGGGGGCGAATAATAATAATAATAATAATAATAATAATAATAATAATAATAATAATAATAATAATAATAATAATAATAATAATAATAATAATTCATAAAAAATAAAATTTATGATAAAACAAACAAAATAAAATAATAAAATAATGATGATAATAATACAGTAACTGTAATAATAATAATATTAATAATAAAGAACTATAAATACAAAAATGAAAAAAAATCAAAAGTGAGAAACGATATATGTATGTTGTGTTGTCAATGGTAAGAGAAACAATTGAGACCCTGCAATTGCGTGTAAATGAAGCAGAAAGTCAGATCAGCAACCTGGGACTTGGTCACAATTTTTGTGATGCCATATTGCAGCAGGGTCTACCATTAGACAACACATTATGCTTCCAATATCTTCCCAGGCAGTAGTACCTCCCTGTTTGGTAGCTGCCTACTACAACAAATCTTGCTGAAGTGTTTAAATAGGCAACGGCCCAGGCAGCTGTGAATGCTCAAAGGGCAGTCTATCGCTCCCTGCAGTACAGACAACATCTCCGTTCGACTAACATATACCAAGAGGATATAACACCAGTTCTCGTTGGTCAAACCCTAGACCCTAAAACGTGAGTGTGATTGTGAACTATTTTATCCTCTAAAAACTCTAAATAACTTTAATAAGTATATTTATGTACAGTATTACCCCGCCTAACGCGGTTTCACTTAACGCGTTTTATCATATACGCGGTGCCTCGCCAGAGCTGAACTTTCACTTAACGCGGAATTTTTCATCATATACGCGGGAAGCGGCGCGGGCACGATGCGCACAAGGTCGCCGAGTCATCAAAACATTACCGAGTTCTTCACCCGCCACCCACCACAGCCGGCCCAAGTCAGTGATAGTGATAATTATAGTGAGGATATGGACTTATATGGCCTTTGAGGGGTTTGACAAAGAGGCCCTACAAGCCTCTGTGGTGGATAGTGATACAATTGATACAAGTGATACAGGTGAGGGCCAATAATCTGCCCTCTGCCTCGGAACCAACCCCCCATCCCCGTGTGCCCAGCCATCTTTTCTACTAATGCAAGTGTTAAAAAACCTAATATTATTGATATTTCTCTTAATTATTAATTGTGTGTGCATACCATCATAAAGTTAAGATAAAATTTTTACTACAACATAGTTGTGTGTCGTCAAAAAGTGGAGTTTGGGGGTCGGGCCAGTCTCTATTGGAATTAATCCCATATGTTCTGTTGTTCACTTAACGCGGTTTTCACTTAACGCGGTACCCTGTGGGTTCAATTGACCGCGTTAAGCGGGGTACTACTGTACTGTATTTGATCATATTATACAAATTGTCTCCTGATGTATCAACAGTTGTAACATGTGTTATATTTAAGATGTTAATAGGCTAAGAACTGTATATTGATTGTATTATTCATATTATGTGTCCTGATACAACAGCATTTGTTATATGTGAATTGTTATGTAACAGGTTTTGACCGAATTATATAGTACGCTTCATCGTTGTGGATCTTATTCTGCAACAAAAAATCAATAACGCTCCTATGAGCATTAACACTGATATAATAGTGATTAATCATGCCATTGTAGCCAGGTTAGACTTGATCACTGTAACCACCAGGATATTGGCCAAGCTGTGAGGTGTCATGGTTGTTTTTTAACTCGTATTTTTGGGTAGATATACGTAACTTTCATTTATTTTTACTCAGTTACATGCACACACCATCCTACATACATTTTGTGACAAAAAGAAAGAAAAATAAATAATTGTCATATGGGCAAACACATAAAGGGAATATACATTTCTTTGAACACGAGTTAGCTGGCTCAGTGAGGGAGGGGAGGACGGTCGCAGAGTGTAGGGAAGAGGTGTGTTGCTAGGGAATCGGCATCCCAGATGATCTTCGTTACTATGGTGAAACAGGGAGTGTATGCAAATGGTGACAGTGTTAATCTTTCATTTAGCTTTTATTTACTGATTTGGCAATACTACATTACAGTAATTTTGTTGTAACTTATTTATTGCTATTATTTATATTTATTCCTCACATTTCCTGGTACTGTATATATTATTTTAAGAAAACTATGGCTACAGGAGGAAAAGATAGGCAAAAGTTTTTTCCTATACTGTATACTCCCTGCCATAAAATACAGTACAGTACTGTATTTTGGGTATTTTTTTATATCATTATTTACAGTATTGTTTTTAAACATTTCATACATTCGCCGGAGGCTGCAATGACAATCATATTTTTTTGCATTATTATTGAAAAATTAAACAATAACCATGGTCCTTAAGAAAGTGTTTGGTATCCATAAGGGTGGTGAAAAGGTTAAGCCCAAGACCTTATCAGTGAACTGAAACGAAGGGAACCGTACTTTATGTACATTAATTTTTTTTTATTAATTTTTATTAAAAAACATATTTCTGTCATAAAAATTTAATACATTGGTGTTGTACTCGTTTTTTTTTTTTTTTTTTTTAATAGCGGTCTTTCTGGAAAAATTTGCTCTAAGGTGGACAACCTCTTATCCTGGACACCCTTCCTCCCAATTAGTCCACCTTAGCGAGGTTTTACTGTATGTTTTCTATTGTTGTTTTACATTGGTCTCAAAATGCTACTCTATTTTCTACATTTATTATACAGCATAGCTAAGTACTCTACTAGGTTATGTTATTACTTTTTACAAGGGATTTCATGCTTTAACTATGCAAAAGATTAAAGAATTACAGTATCTATATGTGACACCCAATACAGCCTGATACAGTATATTGTGAAGACAAATTTGTCTGCTTACCATATAATCATCACCGAAGGCCTTTGGGAGATATGAAAATGTTTTTCTTATAAAATCAATAACACAGGTGATCTGGTCTTCAGTGTATGCTCCATAGATCAGTTCACCTGTCATTTCTCGTAAGTCTCTTCCACCTCTCTTGAAGATCTAAAAAAACAAAATAACAAAAATTAATTAAAAGTTATCAGTGTGCGTGTGTGATCATAAATTCAGTGGTAACACTCAGGACTCCCAACCCAAAATAACCAAATTCTGTCCCATAGCCAAGAAGGGTTAGTGGGGTCATCATCTGTTGTAATTTGCATTATACCGCCACTTGTCATATCGTGTCAACCAAAAAATTCTGGGAACAGCATAAAAGGATGTTAGTTAGTTTATTAAAAAGAATTATTTAGAAAAATAAAAGGAGAAAGAAAAAGGGGAATTCAAGGAAAACTATGAAATATACAATTGTTATTTTTCCTCAAGTCTTAACTACGGTAACTTGGGTGAAGCACGTGCCGTTTTCCCCTTCCTCCTGATTTCCTCAACAATAAGCTAGGGAGTGATGTTTAATTTACAAACAACAAGTAGTATCCATTTTCCTAAGGGATGGCATTCCTTAAGCTTATCATATGACTAATGTGGTCATATCCTGAACAAAAGATGGAACTTCTCAGATTATGTTGCCATTTAATGCCAAAGAAGGTGTCCTTTGGGGTTCAGCTTTTGGCTAACAAAACAGTGGAAACAGCATTAAAATGTGGGAGGAGACTTAAGGTCTGAGCAGGAGTGATCCATTTACTCAGCTTGAAGTGTGACAGGAGTCGGAAGTCATTGTTCCTGACTGAAAGCTTTTAAAGCCAACATCTTCAAAAAATAATTGGATACAGGTATCTTGCATTTCAGCATATGAGGTCAAGCCTTTGACTTTATTCAGATTTCATATTGTATAAAGTTACTCCTTTCCATGTTAGTTAACCACTACGCCCCAGTTGACATTCTGAAACGTTCATCTAGGGCGCCCCAGTTGACATTCCGGAACGATCGCCAATTCGCGCCATCGTTTGGATGCCCAGTACGGGTTATAAGGTTCCAGCATGACTATTTGGTGTTCATGCCACACATAGGTTAGTGTGCAGAGCCGTCCCTCGGGTATGGCAACCAGTGCGACCGCCCCGGGCCCCTTACCTTACCCAAAACCGGAATTAGTGACCACGTTAAGCTGACCTCACCTTCCCATCCAGATTCAGGAGACCACCTGAAGGATTAGTGACCAGCACAGTTAAGCAATGCATCTGCTGACATTAGGTCAAAGGTTAGATTAAGCCACCCCATCTTACCACCCAGACTGAAAACAATGTCATTCTTTACTCCCGAGGTCCCGATGTTGGTCAGTGACCTGTACTCGGGTGAGCTAATGTCCGTAAAAAAAAAAAAAAAAAAGTACAGTAGTTCCTCGCCAACCGCAGGGGATAGGTTCCTGAAATTCCCTGTGGTTGGCAAATCCGTGGTGAGCAAGATTAAAGGCTTATGGGAAATAGGGGGTTCCATGGCAGTGGATAACACTCGTCAAAGCCTAACTAAGTTGCCTGTTCCTTCACTAAACATACCTGTATTGCACATTTAATTAAATTTTAGTCAAATATATATAAAATAAAGTAATACAGTCAACCCTCACTTTACGCGGTCAATTGAACCCGCGGGAAACGCGTAAAGTGAACAACATAACATATGGGATTAAATGAAATCGAGACCGGCTGACCCCCTAACTCCACTTTTTCCAACACAATACCTATGTTCTAGTAAAAATAACATCTTAATTTTATGATGGTACATGCACACAATTAATACTTAAGAGAAATAGAGAAATACAGTCGCCAAGTTACTGTCCATTCAAATAATGGACTCGACTCCCTCCCCCTCTTCTCACACTACACTCGCTGGCTCTTCCCTCTCCGAGAAATTTTTGGGGGAAAACCACTAGATTTTAAGGTATAGTAATAAATAATACCTCAAACTAAAGTTAGGATAATATAATTGACATTGTTGGATTCCTTGTAAGACCAGGAATATTTTGAATATAAATGTCATATATTTTGCACAAAAGACAACATATTTACTCAGAGTAAACAAAATATTTACATTAGATCTAAAATTTGTATGTCTAATGCAAAATCTATGATGTTTATATTCAAAATGATCATCAAATTGTAAGAATTCCAGCAATGTAAATTATTTCTGGCTGGGTAATTTGTATGAATTTTGAGCTAAAACAAATATCTTCAGTTAATAAAAAAATAAAATATTCTTCATGACACTATCTGTCAATCAAAGTACCCCACCTTGCCTCCCCCCCTCTTCCAACCGCGCCAGATGGTCGGTCGGTCTCTCCCTCCCCCCCACCCCCCACCTTCCCTCCCTACCAGAGAAATGTTGGGTGAAAAAACTAGACTTTAACTTTTAGTAATAAATAATACCTCAGATTAAAGTTAGGATAATATAATTGACATTGCTGGATTCCTTGCAAGACCAGGAATATTTTGAATATACACTTCATATATTTTGCACAAAAGATAACACATTTGCTCTGAGTAAACAAAATACCTGCATTAGATCTAAAATTTGTATGTCTAATGCAAAATCTATGATGCTTATAATCAAAATGATCATCAAATTGTAAGAATTCCAGCAATGTAAATTATATTCTGGCCGGATAATTTGTATGAATTTTATGAGCTAAATAAAAAAATTATACTTCACCTGCGTAAAGGGGTACACACACGCACCAACCTGGTTCCGGCAGGGTACCGCGTAAACGTGGAAACGCGGAATGTGGGACCGCGTAAAGATAGGGTTGACTGTATATCCGTTAGTTGGAATCTCTCAAACCCGGAACTCTCTGATAGCCGTAATTAAATTTTTTTTGGAAAATCGTTCCAAAAGCCGGAATTTTCCAGAAAATTCAGACTTTAAGAATGATTTTCCGAGGGACACATCTTCCACAAAATTACGAGAAAATTTTCCTGATACCTGGAAAATTCCAGGGATAGGGGATATTTTTCCGGGTTTGAGTAATGATGTAAAGAGCAATTTCTGGAACTTCAGCGCACATTTTTGCAACCTGGAAAATTCCGGGGGCGAGGGATTTTTTTCAGGCTTTGAGATACTGTATGATGTAATGGGCAATTTCTGGAACTTCCAAGAATATTTTTCCGTAACCCAGAAATCTCTCATTCCCGGAAGTGCTCTGCACCAATTGTTCCAGCTAACGGAGATATCACTTGTACATACAGTCGGCCCTTAACATACGCAGGTTTATAATACGCGGATTGCCCCGCCGGAGGAATATTCTGTACATTGAAGTAATTGAAGTACATTCAACTCGCGCGCGGCACCTCACACGGGACACCGCCCGCTCCCGCTACCTCACACACACACACGCATAGCTCTCCCTCACTCAGTCAGTCTCGCTGTAACCACGCTTGTGTTGACATCAGCATTGTAGTTGCAAAAATATTACATTTCCGTGAATGTATTATATCAAGCACAGTATGAATAGAATATCACTAATATAAGAGTGTTTTAACCGAAAACTACTAAAAAAACGAGTAACATATCTTGAACATCGGAAGGTTAGGTAAAGTCTTTTGTTTTCATGTAGTTTATCCTAATTTACATTGAAATGCATTACGTTTCTGCAAAACTACTATTTATTTCTGAGAATATGGAAACGTAATATTTTGCTGAAATGACGTACGTATTACAGTGGAAAGTGACGAAAGCAATGACTCGCTTTCTTTCGTTCAAAAGATGTTACCGTAATCAACTTTCGAATGGTTTTCAGTTAAAAAACTGTTGTATTACAATAATATTCTATCCTAATTCACTTGTGATGCAACAGTTTTTTTAACTGAAAACCATTCGAAAGGTGATTACGGTAACATCTTTTGAACGAAAGAAAGCGAAAGTCATTGTTTTCGTCACGATTTTATCCCACTTTCCACTAATACGTACGTCATTTCAGCAAAAATATTACATTTCCGTGACTGTATTATATCAAGCACAGTATGAATATAATATCATTGTAATATAACAGTATTTTAACCGAAAACTATTAAAAAAACGAGTAACATCTCTTGAACATTGGAATGTTAGGTAAAGTCTTTTGTTTTCGTCATGTATTTTATCCTATTTTACATTGAAATATATCACGTTTCAGCAAAACTACTATTTATTTCTGAGAATATATTCATTCAGGCACAGTTTAGGTAAAATATACATGTGCTGTAACATTTTTTTAATTGAAAACGATTCGAAAAACACGTACCCTCTAGCCCTGTTCAAGAAGAAGACTGGGAGGAGCTGTTTGGTGCTTAAGATGATGACAAGGAAAATGATTTTGATGGATTTTAATGAAAATATTCAGAAAGACCCTGGCACTGTCAAGGAAAGTGGCTGCAGAAGGCTTCCAGGACATGGCAGAGGACGAGATTAGGGAGCTAATTGAAGAGCACGACACTGAGCTGACCGAGGAGGATCTACAGGAGTTAGTAGACTCAGGCAAGGAAGAGGAAGCGAAAGGGAAAGAGGATGAGGAAGAGCACCAAGAAATAACGTTGGAGAAGTTGGGGGAGATGACCAGGAATATTGAGGCACTGAAAAACCTGGCCTATAGTATGGACCCCTCCATGGTGCGTGCCCTGAAATTCATGCGAGGGATGGATGACGTTTTCGCTCCATACAAAAACATCATGGAAGAAATGAAAGAAAGAGACGACAACTCCCCATCACCATGTTCTTTGATCACCGAAGGAGAGATTTAACACCATCAATCACTGGCGGCAGTGAGGAAGCAGCTGAATCCACCGTCGCCCCCACTTCACCACCCGTTATGGAATTGAGTGACGATGAGCCCGATGACCCCCGTCCTGTCGCCGAGGATAGGTACTGTACAGTAAAGTGAAATTTTTATCTCTTTTTTTTTAATAGCTTTTCTTGCCATGTTTATTGTTTGTAAAAATGCACAGCACAGTACAGTTCAGTACTGTACATAGGAAGTGGAGGTGCAGTTATTCACAAAACATTTGTGTTCGTTGTCGGCAGTAGTGACGGGGAGGAGGCAGAGGGGGTGGAGGAGGCAGAGGGGGTGGAGGAGGCAGAGGAGGTGGAGGAGGTAGAGGAGGGAGCGGAGGGAGCGAGTTGGGAGGAGTGGTGACCTTGGACGCGGGAGCAGGGACGAGTGGAGATGCCAGCCAGTACATTACGGGTGTATTAATTGTTTTTATAGCTATTTTTGCATTTTAATATTAAATATTGTACATTACGTTTCAACAAAACTACCATTTATTTCTGAGAACATGGAAATGTAATATTTTTGCTGAAATGATGTACGTATTACAGTGGAAAGTGGGATAAAATTGTGACGAAAGCAATGACTTTCTCTTTCTTTCGTTCAAAAGATGTTACCGTAATCGCTTTCGAATGGTTTTCAGTTGTGGGATTATAAGGCTAATGATAGGATAGAATATTATTGTAATACAGTACGAGTACAACAGTTTTTTAACTGAAAACCATTCGAAAAGCGATTACGGTAAAATCTTTTGAATAACGAAAGAAAGCGAAAGTCATTGTTTTCATGATTTTATCCCACTTTTCACTGTAATATGTAAGTCATTCCAGCAAAAATAATGTATTTCCATATTTATTTCTGAGAATACCTATATTCATTCAGTCACAGTTAAGGTAAAATATACTTGTGATGCAATATTTTAATGAAAATACGGTATTGTAGTTTTCTTTTGTTTCAAATTTAATTAACAAAGATTGATGTTTCAAATGTAATGAACAAAAATTTATGTACAGTATCTATAAATATACTTTAATAAATGAATACTTTGTTTTACATCGTCCTGTGCTACCATACCATGGATTTGGCTACTTTGGGCTTGCTATGATGACGCAAGAGATCTGCCCTGGCAACTGTACTGACACTCACAGCTGGTGGTGCGTTGGTGCATCGTTTCCATTGTTTACTGGTAGTTACTGATAAATATTTTTCAACCTTACGAAACTATTACCCGTTTAGAGATCGACCCCTAATTTTTTGCCAAATAATTTGGTTTTAAAAACTTGAACTACACACAGGTATACATGGTAAATAAGGACATGGGGGGACCAGGTTTTTTTTTTGGGGGGTGGGGGGAGCACATATACGCGGATTTTTAACATCCACGGGTATCTCTGTTACGTAACCCCCGCGTATGTTAAGGGCCGACTGTATAGGCAAATTCCTCCTCTAGGAATTCCTCACAACATATCCTACATGCCCTTAAGAAAAATCTTATCACCAATCCTGATTTTGTTCTTTCATTGTGGGTCAAAAGGCAGTGAATAAAATCGTCTTTTTAAGTTGGCTTACGGTAGACTGAATATTTTACACTCTGCTCTGTTCTCCAAATTATCGTGCCTAGGAATGACAATTTGTTTTCTTTCTCTTCCTCCCAAGATGGTTGGGACATTCAATACCTAACAAAGGAAGAGAAGGCTAAAATTTTAGCCTGGAAGACAGAAAATGTGGGTATCAGTGAGACAGAAACGAACAGGAAGGAAAAGTGCTATTATTCACTGGGTTCTGGTGGCTGCATGTAGCCTCCCACCAGACGTATCATTGCCCCACAAACTCATTCCTGGAAGGTCGAAGAAGACTACAGCACCAAGAACACAGACAATCTCCTATGGCATGAAGTGCAGAACCTAAGAAAGCAAACCAAAACCTGCTCAGAAATGTACGTACATTTCCAAGCAGTTTTGGGTTTGCTTTTTTCAGTTCTGCAGCAGCCAAAAGCCAGTAAATGGAGCCACGATTCCTTACTGTTTGTCTTGCTATCTCACTTGTACCCAGATTTCTGTCTTCCAGGCTAGAATTTGAGCCTTTTCTTCCTTTCTTAGGTATATCCCAACCATCCTGGTGCACTACACACAGAAATATAGGGCAAGTAGAAAATACACATGAAATTAGGAGGCTGAGTCGTGGAGCGATGCAATGTAATACACTCGCACTTGCTGTTCAGGGTATACTGAGGAGGCCAGCTGCTGCCTGACTTTACTCACACCACTCCAAGTTGCCAGATGTAGGATAAATCGAATTTGTGATACATATAGGCTAATTTACACAAATATTTTTGTGACATGTCACTGAGTGCAAAAACATGGCCTTGTTGCAAGGATTTTTGTGGACACTGTATATTCCCCACTATCCAAAATAAATACAGTGAATTTAAATACAGTACATATTCTATTGTTAACATATTCTATTGCCAAATCTGTAATAATCTATATTGTGCATACCTGGTGCCTCTGGTTTGGTTCCTGTCCTTTGGTTACCTTTTCTAAATATGGTACTGCTTGGACAAGTCTATTTTCAAGCTCCTCTACGGTCATCTGTTGGAGTCTGTTGTAGCTGTTAATTTGTGACTCAAGAGTTCCTCCATCAGAAAAAATTACAGAATTTTCATCTGAAAAAAAAAAAATATATAAATATATAAATATATATATATATATATATATATTATATATATATATATATATATATATATATATATATATATATATATATATATATATATATATATATACATAAATAAATAAATAAAATAAATAAATACAAAATTTTAATTATAATAACAATAATTATAACAGTTATGGACAAGATTTATTTTTTACAAACATGAGTGACTGGTCATAAAATCATATTTTTGGGTTGAACCTGAAACTAAGTACAGTACCTTGTGAATTATAACCATGACTTCTGGTTTTTAGGTCTGGCTTAACCCTTAGACACAGAACTGGGAGTACTATAGTAGAGCCTCATATTCTGTAATGTTTGGAACCAAAAGCCCATTGTGAAATAATGAGAGTTGTGCCCCCCCCCACCCCCAATTAGTGTAAGTATAGGGTAGTCTTTAACTTCAACAATGTACAGCACATATGAGAAGAATCACAAGACTAAGTTCCTGTAACTACAGTGATAAACTATGTTTCTACTCCAGGTAGAGAATTCTCCAAAAAATTGAGTGAGGATGCTGCTGTCATTTGTACTGAATACAAGTTAGTAAGTGCAACTTCTGCTCCATTGAAGTGCATGATAAAAAAAAAAGCCATTAATCTGAATACAGTAAACGAGACGACTCTCTCAAACCCGGAAAAAATCCCATATTCCCGGAATTTTTCCAGGTACTGAGAAAAGTTTCCGAGATTCTAAACAACACATCTCATACGAAGAACCACTATCGCACATTCCCGGAATGTTTCTAGGTGCAGGAGAAAGTTTACTGAGAGTCTAAGTGAGTCTAAACTACGCATCACATTTGATGCTAAGCTACGTACATCATCAACTCCTCTCTCACAGACAAATTCTCCCATTATAATTAGACTGAGAGCACAAGTGAAATCATTTATGGCAAGCGAAAATGTGTATAAAATTTTATTAACAATATCTGATCCAACAGTGTCAAAGCGATGAATTTGGTGCCATAATGTTTGGGAATAAATTCTCTACAAAACATTCCCAATAAAAGATCTTTAAGCAAAATATTTCACAATGATATAATGACAGGGCTTCAATCCCCAGAATTTTTTGGGTATAGGGAAATTTTTTTTTATAATTTTCTGGAAAATTTGCCTTTTGAAAATTCATTCCCAAAGCCATAATTTTCCAAAAAATTTCAATTACGGCTATCGGAGACTTCCAGGTTTGAGGGATTCCGGCTAACAGAGATTTATTTAAAAATCTAAATAATTCAGGCTGATAAATGAAGGTACTTTTGAGGCATGAAGCTGCCAGCATATACAGTGGTCCCTCGGTTAACGAACGCCTCGGTTAACAAAATTTTGGTTAACGAATTGCGCCAATACAGAAATCGGTTCTAAGGCTTAAATTCGTTAAAATTGGAGTAAATATCAAGAAGGTTGTACTATTCAATAATTTTCCATGTTTTGTATTAATTTTTTTTGTCATTTTAACACTTATTTAACATAATTGCAGTACAGGTAACTAGTTTTTGGTGCGCCCATCAGCCACTTCACTCACCCACCAAGGCCTCAGTTTGTATCTCTGTTCAGTGGAGGAAGCACCTTGCTTGTGGGTCTCTTGAACACAGAGTATTTTTACGTTTTTACAGTACAATTATTGGTCATTCTGAAATTTATTTAACATATTGACAATACATAGTGCAGTGCAGTGTTGATTTAAAGAAAATAATCTCGAATTACACCTAGTGAACTTAAAATTTTATGGGTGAAATGACGGCATCAAACATGGGGTGATTTCTCTTCCACCCCCACTTCCTTCTTTTCTCCCTTCTCCTCCACCCCCACTTCTAATTCCCATCATCATCATCATCATCAACCAGGAGCTTTCTACATACACACCTCAAAGTAAGTGTACTTTACTGCATTTTCTTTTTTTACTTTGTATGTAATTTTCGGTGAGCTGGAACCAATTACCCCAAATCCCATTGAAACAATGGTTTCAGTTAACAAAATTTTTGGTTAACGAACGCCCTTCTGGAACAAATTGTGTTCGTTAACCGAGGGACCACTGTACAGTGATATCCCCGTTAGCCGGAACAATTGGTGCAGAGCACTTCCGGGAATGAGAGAATTCTGGAAAACGTGATGACTCTCTCAAAGCCGGAAAAAGCCTGTCATCCCCAGAATTTTCTGGGTAACGAGACGACTCGCTCAAAGCAGGAAAAAACCCATCATCCCCTGAATTTTCCGGGTAACAGAAAAATGTTCTCCGAAGTTCCAGAAATTACCCATTACATCATCTCTCGAACCCGGAAAAATATCCCTCATCCCCGGAATTTTCCAGGTACCGGTAACGGAAAAATTTTCTCAGAATTTCCAGAAAATGCGTCTAATTTTAATTTCTCAAACCCGGAAAAAACTCCCACATCTCCTTAATTTTCCATGTATCAGAAAAAATTGTGCGGAATTTTCCAGAAAATGTGCCCCTCGGAAAATCGTTCCCAAAGCCAGAATTTTCCGGAAAAATCCGGCTTTGGGAACAATTTTCCGAGAAAATTTCAATTCTGACTATCGGAGAGTTCCGGGTCTGAGGGATTCCGGTTAACGGAGATATTACTGTATACTGTATTTATGGTGAGCAAAAAGTGTGTAAACTTTTATTCACAATATCTGCTCTAATTGTTTTAAGAGAGACGAATTTTTTGCCATAATGATCCTGAATAAATAAAAGATCATTAAACAAAATATTTGGACACGATATACATTACCGTAATATAATGGGAATTCAATTCTTTTATGAAAAACCATAAGAAAAGTTGTTACTAGAATCTATAAAATCAATTCTAATAAAGTTAAAAAAAAATTTTTTTACCCAAATAATTCTAAATACTGTATGTATATTTCATCTTCCCCATATGAAAGAGATACACGGATAAAATATTTCCTGCATCAGTACAAATTAGTCTGATCCTGAAATTAATAAAACTACAAATACTGTACAAGGTTTAAAATTGAATGAAAGTTGATTAAATTTATTTTTAAAAATAGGGGTTGATAAAAAGCAAAAGAGGGTTCATGTGAAAAAGTTTGGGAACCACTGCACTAGGCAATGCATAAATACAAGGAATTTCTTCCATTAAAAGGAATTCTAACATTGCAAAAATTACAGCACTGATGTGAAGTCTATAATAAAGTGAAAGACAGAGTACATACCATCAAAGCCAAGATTCATTGGTGGTTCAGTTAAACTATCTTCTTCAAATTGTAGAATGCGTGTGTCATCTTCCAAACTTGAAAAGCATATGTTACTGGAGTTATGTTTTGGTGTCTCATCTGGCATGAATGAATGGACTGACTGTAATTCATTGAAATTACTTTCACTTTCATGACTTTGTTCAGAATCTCTATTAATATTTTTTCCATTACTTAAAGTAGTATCAAAGACATCAGTTTCTTGTGACATATACAGATTTCTGCGTCTATTCCAGTTTAAATCACTGAAGTTACTTACATTACCACTGTTTATTTCAAAATTTTGAGCCGAGTCACTGTTTACAGTACAGTTAAAGGTACCCTCACTTTCAACCCTTTCACTAAGCTCACTAGTTTCTGAAAATACATCAGCACCACTTAAGTGTTTATCATTTTTCACTGCACTACAACTTTTGGTTTTGGATTTTGTGGAGTGATTTTTGCTTGGTCTTGACTTCTGTTCAATATGTTTTGTGATAGTCTGACAGGGTTTTTTTCCATTTTGTTTTGAAGCAATCCAATCAGTCATTTTAGGTTGATTCTGTGGGACATGGGCATTAAACTTGAGCTTATTTTTTTTATTCCTTGTTTTATGATTAGTTTTTTGGGAGAAATCACTCTGATCAATGTCACTGGAAAAATCAAATGTATTTTCTGGAAATGACAGTTCATTTGCACTTTGTTTCTCACGCAACTCCATTGCTTTGCGGCACTTTTCAATAATAGCAATATTTTTCAAAGTTTTTTTTGACAATTGTAGTTTTTCTAATCTAGCTTTCTTTGGAGTAATTCTATCACTAGATTTAGTACCCTTACACTTAGTTTTAGATTTATGCAAAGATTTTTGTATTGGTAGTTGAGCAACAGAGCCTGAGGGGTCTAAGGAAGGACTAAGACTACTATTCCTTGCAGCACCTTCCGGTAATCCTTCACTACTGGTAAGCTTTTCTTTTTCCTTTAGTCTGAGACTCCTTCGATAAAGAAGAGTATTACAACTGCAAACACTTTGATCCTTTTCTTTACACTCAACCTGCTTTACACAACTTGGAACATAATCTGGGTATACTAGTGATGAACAAGCTTTACCATCTTCTCTGTCTGTTGATGTAATATGTCCAGGAACATATGCTTCTTCAACGTTATTTTTTTTTGAAATTTTTTTCTTTGATTCTAATCTCATTTTTGTTTTGTTTTCTGATTTGCTGAATTCTCCAAGAAGTTTTTTTGCCTTTGGTGAGGATTCTATAGTTTCTGAACCATCTTCTTTTTGTCTATCTTCTAGCAGCTTAAAAGGGAAATCAATGTGACTGCAAGGAATATTTACTTCAATTTTTGGATTTGAACTTGTTAAATCCGGTAAATCCTCATCCTTGTCGAAAATCTGAGACTCTGTTGCTTCAGCTTCTTCCCATTCACTGCCGTCACAAAGTGAATTACCTTGACATCCAAAATCCTTTGCCTTTTTTCCCCTTTCCATCTGATCAGTTGCCTTTGGTGAAGATTCTATGATTTCTGAACCATCTTCTTTTAATTTATCTTCTAGTAACTTTGAAGGGGAATAAATGTGACTGCAAGGAATTTTTACATCAAATTTTAGATCTGAACTTGTTAAATCCGGTAACTCCTCACTCGTATCTAAGATTTGGTACTCTGTTGCTTCAGCTTCTTCCCTTTCACTGTCGTCACAAAGTGAATTATCTTGACATCCAAATTTTTTTGTCATTCTTCCCCCTTCAGTCTGATCAGTTACCTGTAGGTGAAATAAGAAAGCGTCACTGAAGTGTTTCTCCGTCTGTATTTTTCTTGAAACACCCAAGACAGGACTATCTGAATGATAAGAAACTCCAAATGTTTTAAGGTGATCTTTGTTTGTGGGTTCATTTTTCCTCTTGGAAGAACATGCAGTTTGGGAATCTTGCAGTATGTCATTTTCATTTTCCATACTGGGAAATAGAAATGATAAAGGGTAAGACCTAACAATATTTTCAGGACTAGAAAAGCTCTGATGATTCTCAGTCTGACATGATTCATTCTGAGTGGAATATACCTTTTTATATCCTACTTTGTAACCCTTCTGGAAGTTTGTAGAACTGTTTGAGTTTGTATCCTCCAAACTATCATTTGGTGAATTTTCCATTTTAGTTTTGATAACAGAAATACTGTTGGGAGAACGACAATTTAATAACTGAGAATGTTCAAGTTGTTCTCCAATATTACAAGATGTTTTGATGGGCTCAAAACCTTCCACAATCATCAGATGATCTATATTAGGCACATCCTCATCAGCATCAGATGCCAGTATTTGGTGAGGAAAACTGGAATTATTTACAGAATTACTTTTTAATGTGCGCTGTGTTTCTTCAGGTAATATACACTGACTGCTTTGGCAAGATCCTGAAGAGTTATTATCATGTTGTGTGTCAAAAATGGACTTCAAAACTTGCCTCTTATTAGGATTTTCATTTTCTAGATTGGACTGTAAAGGAGTTGATTGACTTATTTCTTTCCTCTTTTTACGAGGAATTCTTGACTTAGAGGCCCTGCAAAAAAAAAAAGGGTCATATTACTTGATAACCAACAACAGATATTAGAGACAGCAAGACATATGTCTATGCGCTAGCCAAACCTTGGTTGATGACCTATCATTATCATATTAACTACAGTAAGATCTCATATTTTCGAGCACTACCTAATGTAACCAAGTCTTATACGGTAGAACATCGATATAACGTGAGATACGATCCAAGTGAGGTCGCTTTAAACCGAATTCGCACTAAATCGAAGTGTTGTTTCAATGGAATAATTTAGATTGGTACTTGAGAGAAACACAAAATACTAAAAAGACAGTCTACCCAGATGCACCTCAGCCCATCTCCTAGAATAAACAAAACATTGTTTTTTGTAGTATTATGTTAAAACACTCATAAATCAACAGAGCTAAAATTATGGGACGTGAAATGGTTTGTTTACTAGCGATCAGCTGATGGGAAGATGAGGGGGGGGAGGTGAGGTGATATGCTTGACAGTTGATGCCAAGGTCTAGTGCTTATTTATTTATCTGTCCTTAAGAGTGACTAAGTTTGTCTCTTATAAAATATCACTAAACTGACCGGGGAGAATATAATTAACAATGATGGAATTCTTATAAGATAGTGATTAGTCTGAATATAAACATGCTATAATTTGTATTAGACATACATATTTTAGTTCTAACTAATTTTATTACAGAGGCTAAAAAAAATTTCTTGTGCAAAATATATGACGTTTATATTAAAATTATTCGCTGTCTTGCAAGGGTTCTAGCAATGTAAATTATATTCTCCTAACTTTAGACTGATAATATATAAGATAAAAACTGTAAGCTTATAACCACCCAACCCTGGCTGGGAAGATTGGGGGGGATTGACAGTGACACGTTTGACAGTTGGGGCCGAAGGTCTCGTGAAGTATTTATTTGTTTATTTATGTCCTTTAGATTGACTTTTTGTTTTTGTTTATGAAATGTCACAGAAGTGACCGGGGAGAAAATAATTTACATTGCTGGAATTCTTATAAGATAGTGATTAATTTGAATATGAACATGCTATAGTTTGCACTAGACATACAAATTTTAGTTCTAATTACAAAAGGCTAAATTTTTTATCTTTTGTGCAAAATATATGACGTTTATATTCAAATTATTTGCTGTCTTGCAAGGATTCTAGCACTGCAAATTATATTCTCCTAAGTTTAGTCTGTGATATTATATAAGATAAAACTTTAAGCCTAAAACACCAACACCAAACCCTGGCTGGGAGGGTGGGAGGGAGGGAGGCGAGGTGAGGTGACAGTGACATCTTTTACAGTTGGGACCGAAGGTCTAGTGAAGTATTTATTTGTTTATTTATGTCCTTTAGATTGAGTTTTTGTTTTTTGTTTATAATATGTCACAGAAGTGACCAGGGAGAATATAATTTACATTGTTGGAATTCTTATAAGAAAGTGATTAATTTGATTATAATCATGCTATAGTTTGCACTAGCCAAAAATTTTATTAATCATTTAGTACAGTATAGTCTGGATTTACGCGGTTTTTGTTTACGGGTTTGGTCATTTATGCGACGCCTTGCCAGAATGAAAATGCTTTAATTACGTGGTAAATTTGGTCATTTACGTGGTGAGCGGCTGGAGAGGTCCAGACCGCCGCGTCATTTTTTACCCACGCGGTCCATTCTTGACCATACACGGGAAGCGGCGCGGTGAGTGGTGCACATTAGGCCGCTCTTACATTATCGCTGACGTCATATGACGTATCGGACTGTGATTGGGCCACGCATCCTTACCACCCACGCATTCCCTCCGCCGCTAGCTGTGATTGGTCTAATGTAACATGACGTGCCCTGCCACCAGAGGATAGAAGTCGCTGACCTAGCCGGGCCTGTCTCATTGTTCTCAGTCTGCGTATACAGTTCTCTCTTGTGCCCGCTATTCTCCTCACAATGGCTTCAGCGGGACCCCCACCACCCGAGAAAACCCTTGAATTACCAGGACCAAGCCATGATAATGTGAAGGAAATCATCGAGTTGGGGGAGAAAATTAAGCTCGTCCTTGGCAACGACCCAGACAAGCATCGGTATGAAGTGTCTAATAAACATATGACGAAAGTTATGGAGCCGTATTTCCAGATCTATCTCGACAACATCAATGCTAGTCGTCAACGTAGTATTGAGGACTTCCTCGCCCGCAACCCACCACAACCACAGCCAGCCCAAGTCAGTGATAGTGACAGTGAGGATATGGAATTTGAGGGGTTTGTCTGGGAGGCCCTGCAAACCTCTGCGAGCAGTGAAAGTGATTCACCGAAGGGCAACTAATCTGCCCTCTGCCTCGGAACCAGCCGCCATCCACGTGTGCCGACCCATCTTTTCTACTAACGTAAGTGTTAAAAAACCTAATATCATTGATATTTCTCTTAATTATTAATTGTGTGTGCATACCATCATAAAATTAAGATGTTATTTTGACGACAACGTACGTATTGTGTCGGAAAAAGTGGAGTTTGGGGGTCGGCCCAGTCTCTATTTCAATTCATCCCATATGTTCTGTTATTTCATTCACGCGTTTCTCGTTTTACGCGGGCCTCCACGGGCTCAATTGACCGCGTAAACGCAGACTATACTGTACATTATTTTGAGTACATGTACAGTACAGCTTTGCCCTTAGGACAGTGTAACGTGCCCAGGGAAACATTAGCTTTAAATTAAAACATTGTCCTTAATTGTGGGTGTCGCTTTAAATCAATAATCTTAAATTGAATTGCTTTAAATCGACGTTCTCCTGTATTTGACGTAAAATATTGTGAATTTCGCAAAATCCAACCCGCTGAACGCGGGCCACCATCTTGAATGACGTCACAATCGTCATACCAGTTATTCCCATGCCATCCGACCGACCGCCCGGGTTGTTATTGTGCACGTTTTTTGTTGGTGCTACCACCTGTCGAGTCAAGATAATGGCCTCTACCTCTACTAGTGTTGGCGGGACAGGCCCACCTAAGCGGCCAAATAAGGAAGAGGAGAAGCGGGAATATTGTAAGGAAGTTAAGTTTGCCAAGTACTCGATGCAGGATAAGCAGCATGTGATTAAGTTACTTGGGAAAGGCCTAAAAACTAGTGAGATAAGAAAGACTACTGGTTTTTCAAAAAGCACAATCAGGTTAATAAAGGCAAAGAAAGATGAGATAAAGAAGTCTTTAGTAGTGGCAAAGAAGTTTTTTGGTGGAAATGTTGGTGCGTCAAATAGAGTTGTGTATGAATCCTGAGAAAACCAGGCTGTTAGCTATGACAGAACATTTTTTGAGCAAGTGGCTTGCCCGTGTGACAGAAAATGCAAGTGTTGATGGATCACAAATTCAAGACCAAGCCCTGATCTTTTATGCTGCAATATGTAGCAAGAAAAACATAAATAATCCCCCTAAATTTGGTGCTTCTGTTGGCTGGCTGGCAAACTTTAAGAGATGTTGTGGTGTGAAATACAGTATGCACGGTACCGTGGAGAAGTTTCGTCTGCAGAAGAGGTGGCCGCAAGTTCATTTCCAGAGATAGCAAAGCAACTTGTAGAAGAAGGTAGATACTCACTGGATCAAATTTATAATTGAGATGAAACGGGTTTCTACTGGAAACTATCTCCCCTTGCTACTTATATATCAAATGATGACAAACAGGCACGTGGGGTAAAGATGGCTAAAGACCGATTCACTGCTTTACTAACCACAAATGCATCAGGTCAGCATAAGATGAAGCCCTTAGTTATCTACCAATCAAAGAAGCCTCATGCCTCTTGCAATTTTGACATGAATAACTTGAATGTGCATTAGAAACAAAATCACAAGGGCTACATGACGCAAAATATTTCCCATGAGTGGTCTGATGAGTGTTTTGTGCCTGACTCACGACGTAACTGCAGGAAGTTGAATTTAGATTTTAAAGTGCTTCTATTTATGGAAAATGCTCCTGGTCATGCCCGGTATCTGGTTGGCAGACATCCTAATGTTCAGGTGGTGTTCCTGCCCCCCAATACAACCTCCATACTGCAACCATTGATCAAGAAATAATTGCCAACGTGAAGTTGCTTTACTATAAGGCAGTTCACGACAGAATGAGGAAAGCCACAGACTCTCAAGATGAAGTGAATGAAATCAACAACACTAATGATAGCGATATGGAAGACAACCCTGCTTCAGTCGGCACCTCTGGCAACTCCCCCACCTTGCCGCAAGACCCTGCTAGCAACTCCCGTCATGACATCACTCAACAGAATGTGCTCTGTCAAGCAATTCTGGAAGCAATTTCATATCCGCCATACTGTGGACCACATGGTAGCCGCATGGAACAAAATCACATTGGCAACCATTAATCATGCTTGGAAACCCCTCTTCCCACACCTGAGTAACGCAAGGTCGGCTGTGCAGCGTCAGGCGGATTTATTAGAAGCTGCGGTAGAAAGTGCAAGGAGTGTCCCAACACCTGGTTTCCGTGAGGTGGATGCAGAACAGATCAACGAGATGCTTAAGGAGAATGATGAAGAAATGCTGGATGAAGTGACTGATAAGTCATCTGACGAGGCAGGTGAAGGCGACGCTGGAGAGGAACTGGAACGAAAGATCACAACCAACAAGGAGTCTCTGATACTCAGCACTTGTTCGAACCTCCAAGAACTAGTTAAAGAGTTGTCAGAGAATGAAAATGAGCGTGCATCACTGGTGAGCAAAGTGGAGGCCATCACCAACACATTTATGCCAAGATACCAGCGAAAGATAAACGAACGGCAGCAGTCAATAATCACACTGTACCTCACAAAACGCCGACACGTTAGTGATGCACTCCAGAACATCGATGTTGGAGAAGAGGTGGAGGAGGAAACACAGGATTTGCCAGATATTACCATCAAGGACTTCCTAGGATTTGAACCAGGAGAGCCAGGTGGAGAGGAGAGCCGGGGAGGTGGCTCCAATGAGCCTGCCCATCCCCAGCCTCGGATATCCAACATCACCCAAGCGCAT